CGTCTCGCGCAGCAGTTCTCGCTGCCAGTGCAACCACACCCTACGCATGTGGACGTGCTCAAGAGCGGCCTGGTCTTCCGCCTGAGGATAGCTCATCCGAAGGAGGTGACCCTCCTGCAGAGGGAGACAGAGGAGGGTGTGGTGAAGCACAGAAGTAGTGAAGAAGCAGTGAAGCTGCAGTGCGAGACTGTGCTGCTGCCGAGGGTCAGAGGAGCTCTGCATGGGTAATGTTCAGATCAGAATTACCGTTAGATGGATGGATGTGTGAAAGAAAAATGGATGGAGATGTAGAACATATAGGCTTTTTGAGATTAAAAACGCCCATAAATTACTTTATTGTGGCCATTATAGTCTCAAGTTTTCAAGGGAATTTCCTGTTTTTAATCAATTTTTAGTTTGATTTTTAGATGTCATGTAATTAGAGTAATTATTCTATTCACTAGCTGTTCCCGTGCGGCTTCATCCGCGTGAAATTATGATAATTTTATTTTACTATTTACATTTGTCAAATTATGAATAGCAAATGTCAAAATGACATGACATAATGACAACCTTGTGAATAAATGTAAACTAGTACCATTGATAAATTCTTCTTTATTTAATAATAAAATACACAAACTATTCACATAAATTGATAAAAAGGCATTTAATACAAATAAAATGTTGTTACATCGCTCACGTCACATTTTTCACTACTCTCGAATTACGTTCCTTAATTACAAAAACATTTTCTATGGCTTTCTTGGCGGCCAGTATGATATTTATTACTTATTGCTTGACCACCTTGCTTACTTGATGTTGGCAGCAACTTATGGTCTCTTTCAAACATTAGGGTTTTCATCCAAAATATTTACCCCTTAAGTTTAATGGCGTGAAAATATATAGCCTAAAGCGTGACGCAAGTGTAGGCCTTTATTTAAAAAAAAAACCAAAATCATGGTGTAATTGCTGACATCTTAGGCAACAAAGAAGTGTGTGTTTACGCTTCATTATAATAGTATAGATATGTGGGCGAAACATTTTTATATTCTACTAGCTGTTGCTAGCGTCTTCGCCGCCGTGAAATTAAAAAAAAATAAAATTAAAAACATACCCTATGTTACTGATAAAGTAGCTTTTTAATGTTAAAAGAAATAATTGAAATCGGCCCAGTAATTTGTGAGTTATTTCAATACAAACAAGAATACAAATCTATCCTCTTTATAATAGTATAGATGTAGCTATTCTATCTTCTAGATTACAGCAGAAGTACCCAGCGTACGGGCCCGCAGCGTGCCTCTTGAAGCGCTGGCTCTCCTCTCACCTCCTCTCGCCCCCCCACTTCCCCTCCACCCTCGCGGAACTCCTCACGTCAGCGGTGTTCCTCCGCCCAGCGCCGCTAGACCCGCCCTCGCATCCGCTGCCCGCCTTCCTCAGAGCTCTGCGGATACTGGCCGATACAGACTGGGCCACGGAGATGATTGTTTTGGACTTCAATAATGATTTGAAACGTAAGGATTTTAGACTTTATTCTGTTGAAGTTAAGGTTTACTTTTATTTAAATGTTTACAAGTTACTTGATTAATATATCTGTAATTCTGTACTAATTTTATAAATAGGAAAGACTAGTTGTTGCTCGCGACTTTGCACGCGTGAAATTACTAAATTAAAAAAATGTATAGATCTCTATGATAGATCATCTATGATGCCACTGATAACGTAGCTTTTTAATAGTGAAAGAGTTTTTGTAATAGGCCCAGTAGTTTATGAGTTATTTCAATACAAAATAACTACAGATATAGATTTGTACGTTTGTTTGTAACTAATAAACTCAAAAACTATTAAACCGATTTCAATAGTTCTTTTACCATTAGAAAGCTGTATTATTTCTGAATGACTTAAAATACATATTTTTCTATCTTTTTAAATACTTCCAATTGAACAAGGTTTAAAAAAATATATATTACTGCTTACATCTTATCGGGTTTATTCTTATTTTTTTAAGGCGAAGAAATAACAGATTTAGAGCGTCAATTCAACGAGACCGAACACAGACCGAATATGTACATAGTGACGTCATATGACGGCGATTTACCCTCGATATGGAGTAGGCAGGCGCCCAGCAAGGAAGTGCTGGCGAGAGCACAAGCGGTCGCACGAGCTACTCTCACTTATTTAGAGAAAGCTTTGACAGATGAATACAAAGATAATGTATTGGTAAGTAATTATTGCTGTTAGGACACACTTATACTAAAAATTATAAATTACTATAATGGCCTGTCTCAACACTGGCTGATAGAGGCCCAGATAGCTTAGACGACACTGTCAGATAAATAACAAAAAAATATATTTTATATGTTAGATTGTTATTTGACTTACAAGAAAGAAGTGGTTAAATAATAATTAATATGATGCTGGCCGCAAAGAAAGCATTAGAAAAAAAATTATACTTATAAAGAAAAAGAACAAAATTTGAATTAAGAAGAAAAATGTGACGCGAACGATATAACGACATTTTATTTTTATCAAATTGAATTTTATCAATTTACGTAAATATTGTGTGTTTTTATCAATAAATAAAGAAGAATTTATATCGTACTAATTTACATTCAAAAGACAGGCCCTAAAAGTTTTTTTCTAGGTATTTTGTAACTAATATTACCTTTTTGCGTTTATTTTTCAACTTTAATTATTAAAATGTTCAATTTTATTCAATCGTTTAATTACGTAAAAAAATCCATGAAGGGCGTACCCTTAATGACTAATTTATTGTTTGGCAATTAGAATCTACACTAATTGACTTTAAGCATATACTTAGCAATTATAAGTAAATATATCATTCCAGGGTGTGTTCGTGCCTTCTCTATCCGGATATGACGCCCTCATCCGTTTGGCCACGCCCCTCGTGCCGCACGCCTCTGAGCGCATAAGCCACGCCCACAAGCGCGCTAGCCACACCCACAACACGCGTCACAACGCCGAGGATATTGTAGAAGTTGTACCTGTGGTAGACTTCAACCCGGTGGAAAAATACCTTATTGAGTTAAGGGTGAGTTCAAATTTGCGTTATTCTAGAAATTACGTGCTTATTTAATTTTTAGCAACATTTGATTGTATGCTCTTTAGTTATGTGCTAGCATACTCTTTAAAGAAACATGTTTTTATAACAAAAAAACTTTATCTGCAATTCACAAGGGAAGCTATTTTCTTAAATTCAAAAAAAATCTGTACGTCCTGTGTCATTTATATACTAAAATAATGTTTTTAATGTAGTCTTTAGCTCGACAAATACGCGGTGTAAAGTTAAACTTAGGAGTAAACCGAGTATAAGCAAATAGTACAAATTTTGCTTAGTAGTACTAAGGCTGAATGGATTGTAAATTGTGACTTTTTAAATTTAATAAAATAGACTATACTTGTTTTCGGCCGCGACTCCGTCTGCGTGGAATTAAAAAAAAAACACAAAAGTAGCCTATGTGTTCTTCCAGACTATCCTCTATGTCTATACCAAATTTTGTCGAAATCCGTTCAGCAGTTTAGGCTGCAAACTCTAACAAACATCCATCTATCTAAACATTCCCATTTATAATATTAGTATGAAGTATGATTATGTTTCAGAGCGCATACGATGAGTTCGCGTTGTTTTTCAACGACAGTTACGGCGGTGACGTCATCGCGGTGCTGTGGCGGCCACATATACACGACCTTAGAGATTTCCAGGTTAAATATATTTATTGCAAATATTTTTACACTAATAACTAGTTAAAACTAAAAAATAATACTTCAAACTAATTGAAATAAGGTTGTCTTAAGTTTTAGCGCAGTTATGAATTGTTTGAATTGACAGCTGTCATTGTGACTTTTAGTTTGACGGCTTGGTTACGAGACTTTTAAGCCAAAACCATTAATTGAGTTTATGCATCGATAATTCTATTACAAGATTATTCGAATATCACAAGAAATAATTTATTATTTATTTGACTTTCTTTTTTTGTTCTTTTTTAATTTTTTTTTACTATTTTGATTTATTTTAAATACCCTCTATAGTGTCTTTTACAGTTTTATATTGGAATAGTTTAACTATACTGTAACTGAATCTGGAGATACGTAATCCATCCATCCAAATATTTTTATTTACTATACTAAGATAATAATTTTATTCATGTTAGATTGCAAATGCCAACGCCCTGATGCCAGAGGAAGTGAACGGCGAGACGAAATACAAAGTGAACAAGGAAGCTTTGCTACAAGACTTCAGAATACTTGGTCGTGGACTGGTTGAAGATATAACTGTCAATTAAAATAATTTTAGCGTCAATATAAATATAAAACACTTAAATATTTAATTGTATTTATTTTCTTAATAATTTTCGCCTGCGACCTCTGCGTAGAATAAAAAAAAAACAGAAGTAAGTAGCCTCTTCCAGACTATCCTCTACATTTATGACAAATTTTGTTGAGATCCATTCAGCAGATTACGATACAAACTCTAACAAACATTTATCTAAACTTTGGCATGTATATTTTTTTAGCTTCAATTTCTAGTTTGCAATGAAAACTGCTATATTTCGTCAATACTAAAGCCCGCTATATAAGTTCAGTTTTAACTAAAGAATCGAAATATTCAGTTAAAACTGCATTTAGGGTTTATTAAAAGAAAACAACAATAACTGAACAATGTTTTATTTACGAGCCTTTGGTAAATTATAATCAGAAAAAAATAATAAGGTCAAATAATCAGTTGAAGTTAACAAAATAGAATTGCATGAATAACAGTTAAATATAACTTTATTACCTTACATTACCATTTTAAAAAGATTTATAATAAAAAGTTAGCAACAATAGCAAACACTACCGCAAACATGGCAACCCCGGGTGACACTGCGGATGATGGTTCGATTTCTCTAGCACGCACGAAGTATGGCAACACATCTAAAGGAGCTGGGAAATCCTTGATCCAAGTAGGGCCTACCACCTCTCGTTCCCTGTCTCCCTCCTCCCACCACACACCCGCGGGGAGGTACACGTCGCGGGAGGTCGCGCCCTCATCCAACACGGGGGCAACCAGAATATTCTCACCTAATAGGTATTCTGAAAAAAATACGAGGACTTTAAAAAAAATAAAAAACAGGAAATATTAATATCTAGAGTTAGAAAATAATCAATTAATCAAAAAAAATCAGAGCGAAATAATATTGTTGTCGATAATTCAACTTTATTAGCTAGATTTTGGCGCCAAAATAAAACTTAGTTGCAGACAATGTGTTCTTACAGACTATGCTCTACATCTATACAAAATTTCATTCAAATTAGTTAAGCCTTTGTTAATACTTTGTAACAACTATTATTAAGATAACATTACCGTCCCAGATGTTTAGTGCATCTTCATCAGCAGGGTCTATCCACCAGAGCGGCGCGTTCACTGGTCGACCTGACTCTACCGCCACCTGCATCGCGCCGTAGATCTCATCCGCGTACTCCGCGTGCAAGTCCGTGTACTTCTTGCTTATTTCCACCGTCTGATAGAAAATAGACCATATTCCTTTAATACTTTCTCTAATTTCCAAACCTCTTAAATACACTATAGCAAGAGCTGTGTGTACAACTAAGACATTGTCCGCAAAAAAACCATGCGGTCTTTTTGGTGGGATGCCCCAAATCTGACTATAATTTATCTCTGTTCTTGATCTGAATTGTTTCATTTGTTCTGATGTTATCAGCTCATAATATATCCCCACTGTGGGGTCCGAGTCTACCGTTAATTAGGGGTGACTAGGCCATAGTCAATTATTGGCCACTGCAGGTTAACTTCACACTATCTGTCCAGATCAAGCTTAGTCCCCCCTAACTTAGGGTACGCTTCAATCCCCCTTTAGTGGGGACATACTGTGACGTGGTGATGATGATGATGATGTGCAGGTTGCATCACTGTTTCCCTTTCTTCTGGTGCTTCACATAAAAAAAATTTCCATCTTATCTTTGGCATTTATGATATAAAAAATGACAAACTTACCTCATTATCGAAGTTCCACGGCACGTAGGAGTACTGCATGACAGGTAGGAAGGTGGTTGCCTGAACCCAGCGGATGAACAACTCCTTGGTAGGAATATCCGCCTGCTCGTGGTCCAGGTTGTACCCGTTACCACCGATCATATCGGGCAGGACTAGCTGGTACCCTGCCAGGTTCATCTGGATAGCTGTCGTCACGATGGTCGATAGACCGTTGTTCAAACCCCAGATGGAATCTCGGTCTACCATTCTAACATATATCGGCAGGTCTTGCGTTCTAAAACATTGCAACATAAACAAAAGATTGTTACATTTTAAAAACATTTAAAAGCATTGATATTTAGAACGAGATCACATCAACAATTGACAATCGCAAAACTGTTGTTCGATTGTCGATTGTTTCGCAGCCAATTCAACTGTTTATTTGCACAACTAAACATCGAGTAACTCGATATAAGGTCATAGGAATCAAACTAACTAACTAAACATTCTAGCGATAGTTTAATCAAAGGTATGTCCCCTCTAACATTTTAAAAAGCATACGGGAAAGCTATAGGAGTATAGTTATTTACCTGAAGCCAGCTCTGACCTCGACCATGTCGCCGAAGCGCGCAGCAAGGCGGGCATATGCTTCTACGATATTGTGAGGCTGGAGGTCAATATCACCAGTCTGTACAGCTACCTAAGTCAATTACACAAAAAGCTATTTTAAAATTATTCCCTGGTATTTATGACTTTGATTAGAACACTATTTTAACGTAGGTTAGTTCGGTCAATTGGCGTCCAGTAAGAGCGCGCTCACACATTTGACTAAACTAATTGAGAATACGAGTATACTAACTTGTGGAGTGAAGCTACTCTCGCCTCCATCAAACTTGACGCTATCGATGTCATACGTGTCTAGCAAGTTTCGGACGCGGGTGTACCACCACTCGGCGGCGGCGGGGTTGGTGAAGTCGATGTAGCCGGGCACTGAGCCGTTGTTGTTCCACCAAGACGTCGCTGGCTTGCCTGTCTCATCCAGTACCAGGTAACTGAAAAGATATGCATTTCAAAAAACAATTGAACAAAAAAGACGAATGAACATTGGTTGAGAAAGCAATACGAAGAGTTTAAAACTTGTGAAAGCGCTTTGATGTTTTTGTAACAATTTTACGACAGATAATTATTGTCATTGAGTTTTTGAAATTTCCGTTACCTCAATATTTATATATCAGATCAGATATACATGAGTAAATCTTTTTACTTTCTATATGTGGCTTTAGTTCCAGCCATTGGTAAATACATAATTC